ACAAGCCGAGCACATATGGGCCTGGGAGCTTTATGTGTTCTGGGAAACCAAAGGGAGTTTTCTTATGTAAGCAGGAGCCGTTAATTGGTTGGATAATGTATATGGATGTATACCTTTACCAACATGTTGGTCACGTGATAGTCGACTGCTCGACAGAGTTGGTTGTCGACCAACATTCCTTAGTAGTAGTATTCTGAGAACGAAGGTTCTATATAAGACTGGCACGTCTGCCATTCAGATAGGAGCTTCGTGCTCAACTTAGTTATCAATCTTATCATATTAGTTTGACATCTTTGATACAAGTAACGAGTTCACTTCCAAGTGAACAACCCGATAGTCTTCTTCTTATCATAGCATACCAACCAGCGAACACCCAGCCAAGTTTAGTTAGCCAGTTTGAGTATTCGTTACATAATTCTACTAAACCTAATAATATATAGTTCTACTATTAAATCTAAATACCTATTCCTCTTATTATAAATAACTATAATTTTAATATAAATAAAGCAGATATTATAGATTAATTATAAGTACTATTTTACGTTTAATAAGTCTCTTATTATAACTAGTATTAGTATGTTTAGGTCCTAGGCTAGAAAGGAGGGTAATTACGTAAAACTATCTTAGATAGTATAGTATATACTTAGATATATTAGCTATAATACTATACTCTCTTAGATAATATGCGTAATATAACTAAATAAAGTTATACCGTATCCTATTACTTCGCTAGTAATACTAATAACTAGTATCTATACTTCTTTTACTTCCTTAATATAATAATTATTAACTTATATCTTTTATAGTAATAAGCTAAAAAAGTAAATCCTATTTATTTTTCACGCTATATACTTTCTTAATAATACTTTTATAAATACTTAGTTAAGAGATTATTAAAAGACTTAAAGCTTTGATTAGGTTATATAGTTATATATAAAAATTATAAATTTATTTAACTAAGCTTATATTATATTCTATTTTACTAATATACTTCTACTTTATAAACTAACCTAATTAAATATTATCTAGGTAAATAGAAGGTTTCTATTAATAGTACTAATAAAGCTTTAATTTATAAGATAAGATAATTGTATACTATATATAATATTCTACTTTATATTATCTATTAAAACAAATATTATACTCTTAAAAAAGATTCTAATTTAAGTCTAACCCTTTTATCAATTAATAATCTTATAGAAGTAGATTATAAAACTAATTATAAAATACTTATAAAAGATGAAAAGCTAGAATTATCTCTAGAACCTTAGTTCTACTAGCTATTATCTATTTCGTCCTCTTTATTATTCTACTAAACGACTAATAGATTATATTACCTTCTCTTATTATACTACTTAATAATAATTAGATTATCTTAGAAAGTCCACTATAATCTCTTATTAAACTAGTTACTTAATTTATTATAAATTATGCTTAAATAATATTATCTACTAAACGATAACTAGGTTAAAGAACTCTTTAATAATCTAAGGACTTTAAAAGTAAGATAACTAGTATCTTTATCTAATCTACTTAGGTGTAACGAATACTCAAACTGGCTAACTAAACTTGGCTGGGTGTTCGCTGGTTGGTATGCTATGATAAGAAGAAGACTATCGGGTTGTTCACTTGGAAGTGAACTCGTTACTTGTATCAAAGATGTCAAACTAATATGATAAGATTGATAACTAAGTTGAGCACGAAGCTCCTATCTAATGGCAGACGTGCCAGTCTTATATAGAACCTTCGTGTTCCTGAAGTCGACAATGTCGACTGTCGACATAGTCGATAATCGACTTCTCGACCAGGCGAGAAGTCGACCTGCATATATCACGTGACTTGTATACAAAGAAATTCCTGGATCGCATAACTAACCTAAGCGATCCCTTGTTGCTATAAGAGCCATGATGTGTGTCCTGTCAGAACCCCGTCTGGACTAACTCCTCACGTGCTAGCACGTGATTTGTGACATTAGGTTTCTTTCTTATTTCGAAGCCTAATAACTCTACTCTATACCTATTCTTACTATAGATATTATACTAACTCTAGCTACTACTAGTATAGCTTCTATAAGTTTACTAACTTATTAGTTATAATATAATATAAAGGAAGAAGTAATAAAGGTAGGTCCTCGAAGAACTAAGAGAAAAAAATCTACGTATATAGAAGAATAGTATTAGAGGGTTATAAAAGGAGGATTTCTAGTATTTATAAACAAGTCTAGAATTCGACTTAATCCTAAATAAGAAATTAGTATATAGTTATTAGATATATAAGAAGGTAAATTTTACTTAAATTAAATTTAAATCTTATTTTAAAATAGTTACTTGTTTTATAGTTAATATAATAATTTTAAGTAAAATATTATAGTTTATAGGAAATAATAATCTTTCTTAGCCTATATAAATTTTAGTATATTCTAATAGCTTAGTATTACTAAGCTGTTAGAATAGACCTATAGTAATATCTTAAAATAATTCTACGCGAGGATGCTTAATCCTAGTCCGAAAGACCTTCGTACCGTCTAGGGGATAGCTATTATCTAGCCAAATAATAAAAGCATTGTTTGTTCGTATTTGTATATTTTCTAAAAGAGTGTGATAGTATTATACTAATAATAATACGTGCTAGATTCCCAAGATATGCTTTACGACTGTCCTCCTTTACGCTCCTGGTGTTACTACCGTAACACATGCCATCCAAATCGCAAGAAGTACAAAAAAAAGAGGATGGTGACCATGATCCAACTAACTATTAAACTTGCTTGTCGACGGAAAACGAGAGTTCTAATATTAACCAAGTCTTTCCTTTTTTAATGAGAGTTCTATCCTTCCACGCAAACCATATATCGAGATCGGTAATAATTTGTAGGTCTGTATGCATTTACGCGTACGCCCAAGCTCCAAACCCATCCTCAACCCAAGGGATAGCTTTGAATCCCAGAATATCCGTGCAATCTGCTCGAGAGAATCCGGGGGTCTTGACAAAGACTTGGAGGGCATCTGGGATGGCGGAGGGACATAATGCGACGCCTGTTTTGCTCTTAGCTTGTGCATTATATACCCTTATCGCCCATTTTCATATTTGAGACAACAAGGTAGGAGAACTGGAGGGAGATAGAGAGAGGGAAACAGAACATACCTCTTCCAGACTCTGGTTTGTCCCAAGCCTGTAACTCGTAAAGGGGAGTTCCTTGCCTATCAAAATACGTAGCGTTTACCCAACCGCCTTGAACACCATTTTCTGGCTTGTTTGTGTTGGCTTCTGTGAAGGCGAGTGGCCCTTGGGGTTCGACGAAGGTTTGTTGACCGCCTGGGACTTGGACCTATTTAACGAGATGAAATCAGTACAATTTCATACCAAACAACTACTCCTTCTTTTCTCATAGATTTCGATGTTTCCCCCCTCCGACACCCCGTCTCGCCAAACCCAAGATCCAGCACCATTGCCCCAAAATCCCAAAGCAAAAGGAGTGAAAAGGGTAAAAGCGTAGAAAGGCTTACATAGAGGAAATCAGGAGTGTTTGTAAACACTGTCATCGGAGCACTGTTGGCGGGAATCGGGCAATCGCTGCCAACACAAAACGTCTTGGGTTCGGCGATACCAGTGTAGAAATACTTTTCGAATGCATTAATTGGCTTTCCATCCAAATCGCCGTTTGGTTGAGAGACAGCGAGGGTGAAGACTTTTTTCGCAGGAGCTTGTGCAGAAGCGAGGGAGGCTGTGGTGGCCAGGAGGAGGACGTTGATGAACATTTTTGGAGATGCTGTGTTGTAAATTTGGGAAAGAGTGAATAGATGGAATGGATGTGGATGAGAATGAAGCAGCATGGTGATATTGAAAGGTTGGGGAGTTGTTTCTTATATACAGTCGTGAGGACAGGGACCTCGGGAGTTGCTGAAGTAAAAGAACCTTAAAAACTCGTATACAAAACACAGCCTCTGGACTGAAACTACATTTTGATCAACATAACCCATTATTCATCTGTCCCTCTCCCAATCAAAAAGGGCCGAAAACCTACGTCACAATTAATCACCTCCACATAATAGAGTAGAAACACGAGAACTCCAACATCTCACCATGTAATTCCCTAGTCCTCATTTTCTATGCCAGAAGTGTAGTTTCTCGTGTTCATCTAGCAGCACTGCAGCGATCGTAGAAGGGGACTAGAAGCAGGGTTTCTCACCGAACCTACAACATGATTGCATAAGATTTCAATCACGAGAATTTGAATTACCACGCCATGCGTACAGATGGCATTCGCCCATGATGTAAAGTTTATCAGATAGTTTGCTAGACTTCTTGGACCGATGTTTTCGGCTTCATTAGAGTTACATTTGCTTCAGACCAAGCAATGACAGCTAATCATAGGGCGTCATGCGATCAGTCGAGGGTTAAGCCCTGTATGAGACTCCGTATGCGTACCTACGCGGATTCGTTCTACTCTAGCGTCCTATTTTAGTACTAGCCAGGGTTTTAGCTTGGAGTGTTTTGTGTCTACCGCTACTGCCAAGCGCTCCATAGCTTAGGCTCAAAGCCAAGAGTGTTAAGCGCTCTAATGGGACCACGTGTTTTCTAGAAGCTTTGGTACGAAAATATACTATATTTAGTAAAAGCCATAGAACAATGAATCGAGCCTTCTCTTATACAACTATATTACATCTACCGTGACTATAGTAAGTTTGATACTGTCAACTCAGGCACTACATGAACGTAATTATATATAGAGTAATACAAGTTATTTTGTATCTCTTTAGCGTTCGAAATGAGTTAAGTTAAGTTGAGTAGTAGCACCTACTGAACCAAACCAAAGTAGTTTTCTCAGACCTCCTTAACTCAACTCGCTAAGTACTTGAAGAACTCACAAGTTATTCAATAGTAAGGAATAAATCGACCCGAGCACCCGTAGCGTACCCCGGAACGCGGGTGGCGTTCCGAACGGCCGGTCAAGGTGCCCGGACTTAGCCGAGTGCCCCTGTGAAAGGTAGAAGATAATTTCTCTATATTCAAGTTACGTTTTATATAAATTAACTACTCGAGTAGTCGAATGTCCTAGATACTGAACTTAACTTAACTCGGGTACTTATAACTCTAATTAGTCCTCGACTTATTAAGTAGTTCTTTTAAACGCTATATTTGTCCTCTATTACACTAGTATTCTCCTAGATTCTAGACGATTGCAAAAGTAAAACATCTCCCTTCCAGAATATAAAATGCTAAAAAGTGCACTCGAAATAAAGTAAAAATATACACTCTTATAATATCTTCTCTTTAAAACAGAGTCGTTTAGCTATTGTAACCAAGCCACGTTTCCAAGCATTGAAGCCTTAAGTCGCGCGCGTTTGCACCCGGCATTTTACACTCTAAACAGAGCGCTAGTCAGTAGTTAAGAGTTAAGGGGTTAAGGGGTACGTCCCTTTGTAGCTAGGTATGTTACTTTTCACACCTTCCCGTATCCATTTATTGTACCCCCGAGTTTCACTTATGTTATCCCGCCTGTTGTAAAGGGGGTGGACAGTCAATGTAGCTTGCACATAGAAATGGCTACGAGGGGACGCTTCTTAAGCGGTAACTTACGGCTGAGCATTCAAAAAGGTAGAAGTATGTTGGGAGAAAATACGAGGTTGCTAGAACCTACTTCTAGAAGGATACGAAGTGATAAGTGTAAAGATGAACTTTCGTCTCCCCCTTTTAATCATTTCATGCTGACTGGCATCCATCAAACATCACCATGTAAAACACATGCATATACGAGACCGACAGAAAAGTTAAAAAAAAAAGGATTTGCAAGATTTTGTTTTCAAGTTGGCTTGTCGCCACTATTTTCTGCCATCAAGTGGTCCTTCAGGCCTTTCTTGGTAACGTTCATTGCCCTTGCGATTTCGGCTTCTTCTTCTCGTAGACGTCCTTTTCCAAATTCCAGGTTTCGCTGCTGTCGTCGCTTTTCTTCGGCCACGTGTTTCTCTCGGTCCTCAAGGGCTTTTTGTCTTCGCTCGCGATCTTTTCTCTCTTTGATTGCTTCTTCTGTTTCTTCTTCGGGTATTGAATCTGGTGAAGGTGGAAGCGTAGAGATGAAAGTATCGATGAGCGAGTCTCTGGTTGAAACGTCCATAGATATGTACCGTATGTCAGCTAATACTGCTGGAGGTAGATGTGAGGATAACGTTGCGTTGTTCAGTACAGATGAAGGCTGTGCCTTCAAAAGTGTCAATAGGTCTGTCTTTAAAGTAGACTGAGGGAGTTTGAGACGATTGATATGATCTCTATAGAACTTTTCTCGATCCTTGTCAGCCAGACCCGCATCTCGCATTTCTGATTCTTTTTTATATTTCCTCCTGAACTCTGGCCAATATAATTTTGGATTTGCATTCTTTTGAAGGAATGCCAGGTATGGTATTCGAGCATCCTTCTTCTCCTCTTTCGCACGAAGCTCTTGGAGGACCTTTATTTTTTCCCGTGACCACTCCTCCCATGTCTCTTTTCTTGCCCGCATCGTAGTTAGAGCCGTGTAACGAATATCGTCGAAAACTTTCCCTTCCTCAATCAACTTCTCCCAAGGACTGTACGGGTTAATTCCAAAGTCGTTGAGTAGATCTTTGAAAAGCGCAGCTGAATCCTCGGGTGTAATTTCCAACCCTTCTGCACCTTCCTCCCATTCATCCATATTTCCATCATCGTACTCTCCAGGATCCAGTCCATACTCTTGGCCCATTGCCGCAAGCTGGAAAGCAATATCATCTTCGTTGAATTCTACAGGCTCGTCGGGAACTTCTTCCTCCGTTCGCTGTCGCTTTGATGGATTATCTTCTTCCCCTTCTTCCCCCTCATCGTCCGTGACTTCGACTTCTTCATATTCGGAGCTGTCGTCTCCCGCTTCTCCGCCAATAGGACCTGCTTCTGTGGGCGCGATGATAGGTCGAGACGCAGCTCCTGGTGCTTCTCTAGCTGCAATCTGTTTCTCCCTTTCCAAAACCTCCGCTTTCTCCTTTATCCTTAATTGGTCCAGTACCAGTATGCCATCTTTTAACTTGTCTGGTATGCGCCAGTAACTCTGGCTCTTCTCCTTATTAAACACAAACCGTCGCCCATATTTCGTATGAACCAGAACCCAAGGCTCATGACCTGGAATAGGATAGCTTGATTTCGGTTTGTCGTTTGGTTGCGGTTTAGGTCGGTCGTTTGCGCCTCGACCTCCCCTCTGATTCTGACCTTGGAAACCTCCTCGTCCACCACCTTGACATTGTCCTTGAGGGGGAAAGTTGTTGAAAGCCGGTCCAGCACTTGGTATTTGACTTCCAACAGCTTGGTATTGCAAGAAACTCTGGGATGGATCTAGTGGAGCCGCAGGCGTCGGGGCGACAGGGCCAACGGTAGGAGGAGCTACGGGTCGTGTATAAGTTGACTGCTTGGTCGCGGAGTTGTAGTAGTATGAATGCCCAGTTGGAGCTTTATGCTCTGTCCATCCTTCCGGTAATGGAGGCGCCGCAGTGGGCTTATGAGTTGATTTCAGCATCTTTGGCGCATGGTAAAATATGAAGTGGTGTTCTGTTATATAGGAAGTCTGGTGTCTTCATATCAAATAATTTGGTCAGTTGGAGCCTTACTGCCACCTGACATATCGGGCAGAAAACCGAAAGGCAGGGGTTGACGCGCTGCGTTGTGCCTGGAGCTCTAACCTCAAGCCGGGGCAACAAGGAAGCCAATACGTACGCACTCCATCAACCAAACACCCCACGAAGTCCGTTTCTCCAAAGCGCATCTAAAAGAATTGGAACTTGGATTGACCGGAAGTGCAGTATTTGAGCTTCCAAAAGTTCATTTCGTCCTTTCAACATGTCGAGAAGATACGATTCTAGAGTAAGCCTCCACAAGCTATCCACCATGGTTTCAATCCACTGACAACATGTATAGACTACCATCTTCTCTCCAGAAGGCCGTCTCTACCAAGTCGAGTATGCCCTCGAGGCCATCTCCCACGCCGGTACGGCCTTGGGTATATTAGCGAAGGATGGAATTGTATTGGCCGCTGAACGAAAGGTTACCAGCAAGCTTCTAGAGCAAGATACATCAGCAGAGAAGCTTTATATCTTGAACGAGTAGGTCCTACAAACCACCCTTTTTACTGCCTGACTGACGCCGGTTCTAGCAATATGATCTGCGCTGTTGCAGGTATGACTGCTGACGCAAATATCCTCATCAACTACGCTCGACAAGCTGCCCAAAAGTACCTTCTTACCTATAACGAAGACATCCCATGCGAGCAGCTTGTCCGCCGGTTATGCGATCTGAAACAAGGTTATACTCAACACGGTGGACTGCGACCTTTTGGTGTCTCATTCATCTATGCCGGCTACGATCCACAACGTCAATTCCAACTCTACCAGAGCAACCCTAGTGGAAATTATGGTGGATGGAAGGCGACGAGCGTGGGTGCAAATAATGCCAGTGCTCAGAGTCTGTTGAAGCAAGATTACAAGGAAGATTGTGACTTGAAAGAGGCATGTGGGATGGCTGTCAAGGTCCTAAGCAAGACGATGGACTCTACCAAGCTGAGCAGCGAGAAGAGTAAGTTGACCTTTACATGTTCAATGCACTTTTACTGATTCAATATAGTCGAGTTTGCTACAGTGGGAAAGACGAAGGATGGAAGAATTTACCACCACTTGTGGGGTGCCGACGAGATCACCGCATTATTGAAGGAGCACAATCTGGCGAGAGATGAAAGTGGATTGGATGGAGATCAGAAAATCGTCTAGATTCTATTGTGGCCTACAATTGCCATGTAACAATAAACGATACCTTTTCCAGCAGGTGAGGCTGCTTGTTCTTGAATTTCCCGCTCATCTGCACATCTCTTACTGTACAGTAGCCAAGTGGCTATTAACTATCGAATTTTTTTGGTCCCGGGGTTAGGCTTGCAAAGCCGTGAGGGAGAGACTTCCCCGAGAAGTTCGGTCTAAGTACGCCAGGGTAGATCGTGTATTACTGGTCGTGGCTCTTAACATTCCACCAGGCCCACAATGCCCTTGGATGACGATGGTCCCTAAAAGTGGTTAGTAATAAATACAGTATAATTGAAATCTCGCATACACTTACAACTATAGCTCTTCCTCATCACCAGAGGCAGGGTTTGAAGGAACCAGTACGGGCTCTGAGGTGAGGTCATCATTTTGGTTCCCTCTAGCTACTGCTTCTTGAGTTGTGTTTTGTTGAGCTGGATTTTCTTCCGTCACCCTTCCCTGTGTTTCGGTCTTCTGGAAGGTTTCTTGTCTCTCAGGCTGAAATGGTCCATATTTTCTACTGAACTGGTCATTGAAAGTCTGGGGACTCGAAGACGGATCAATTTGTGCAAAAGGTGTTGCAGATGGTTGCGAGGAAATGCGGAGGGTAGTTGAAGTATGTTCATTCGAGAACGACTGGGATGGATGTGAAGTGGACCTTGGACTCTGGCTTGGATGCTGGAACGTTGGTGTGATAGGCTGCTGCTGCGCTGGCGGCGGTTGTATTGGCTGTGAAGTCGCAGGTCTGTTCCTCTTTTCCAGCTCGTCCTTGAGTTCGATGATAACTTTGGTGTTGACTGCAGCCCACTTCGTGGAGAGATACCTTTCTATCTCAGTGCCTGTTTGAATCTGTTGGTGCAACCGTTCTAAATGATTGTGGAGGCGTGCTATCTCTCCAATTGTGAAACATTCAACAAAATCCTGGTCGTTGCTGAAATCTCTAGGGTTTTCGTGCTGGAAATACCAATCATTAAGCTCTAGCGACGGGGGCTGGTAAGCCTAATCCTTTTGCTGCAAAGTCTCTGTATACTCGCTGATCTGTGTTCGCCTTTCATTGTATAACTGAAACCTTCGAGCAGTTGAGGAGGTTGTCCATGCTCGAGCGGTTGGTTCAGTCGTCGATTGCCGGGCTAAAGGAGCTTTTCTTTCCGCCTGGAGATTGGTAATTGTTCTTTCCAAAGCACGGATTCTCCCCTGAAGCTCATCGATCAACTTGCTTCTGCCCTGTCCAACACCTTCGTTTTGCGCTTGCTCTTCGGCAATCCTGATCAAGTCCACCCATTCAATAACATAAGAGGATATCAGTTCTGCTACTGGCAACTCTTGTGGAGGCTCTTGTCCGAGTAGTTGCAGTGAGTCTACTACACTGCGGTACAAAGCCAGAAACTCTTTCCGAACGTCATTGTAGACTTCGAGCATGTGTATTATGTCTTCGCAGTTAGGTATTGACCCTTCTGGGATGTTGATACCTTGATTACGAGCAATTGCGAGCACAGTCATTGAAATGCGGCCGAGACAATTTCTTAAGTAAGCTAATTCTCGTTGTTCTTTGAGGGGCTCTTCGAGGGGCTCTTCGTCATCTTCGATTTCGTAATCTTCTCTGAGCTCCTCGTACTCCCCAGTGGTATCCTCATTTTCTTGTTCTTTATTTACTGCTCCACACTCGTTATTCTGCTTGTCCTGTTCTCCGACTGCCTCCGGAGTTAGATTCTGTACTTGGAGTTCTTGATATCTTTCCTCTGCTGCTTTAAGTTTTCTAGCGGCATTCTCACGTTCCCTAGTCAATTGATCACTAAACTGTTGCTGTAGTTCGGCAATTTCGTCTTGATGAAAGCGGTTCAGAGCTATTTTGACCTCATCCGTGTGTGATTCCATGATGGTTCTTATTTTCTGATCAGTCCAGCCACTGTCCACCATACCAAATCTCCCCAACCATGTCTGTAGGATGTTTGAGAAAGCTGATGGTTCTCTAGATTGTGCTCGCTCCTCCTTGAGATGTGGATCCCCACCAATTCGTTCTGATGCTTCTCCGCTACGTTGATTTTGCTCCGAGCCTAGAGAAGCACCTTCGATGTTGCATTGCATAGCTTCCTGCTCTGTTTCCCCAAGTTGCTTAATATGTTGTTCTAAATGACGCACCCGACTTCTCAACTGACGGTTCGCTCTTCTCAGCTCTCGCTCTCTTTTCCCCAAGGACACATCACAAGCACAATCTTCGAGATGTAAACAACCCTTCCCATATTATAACGAAAACGACGAAATGCAGCGACCCAAAACTCCAGAAACCCTATGAGACTCCTCCAAAACAATCCTCTATTCGTCCACACCAAAGATATATTCAGTCCCCAATAATAGAAAGAAAGAAAAGTTGCAGCTACAAGAAGTAAAGGTACGTTAAACATTTGCCAGAATATCGTTGCCCCTGCCCCCGCGATATACGTGCCTGGTTGGCTGAAACCCCGGTCGGTTGCGCAGGAAATCAAGGTACTTTGTGGTAAAATTGCGGTCAATAATATCATGGCAGGTGACAACGATAACTGCTAGGTAAATATCATCACGCTTCCCTCTGAACCTTCATCTGAATCTCCACTCCCACTTCTTGGACTTTCTCCTCGAGCTTCTCTAATTACGGTTATCCTGTCTAATCCTACTCCTGCTGACTCGCTTTCATCGTCAACTGCAGGTGCTGGAGCTTCGGCTCCCGCATTGAGATTCGGCCGAGGGTCGTCGCCTGGCGCACCATCTGGCCGAGTCAACACATAACCTGATGGTAGTCGTGTACCCTCGGGCAACTCTGGCACGAAATCTATATACGGACGGAATCCATTGTTTATATATGTTTGATCTCTCTCAACTCGAGTGGGAGAACGGGGTTGAGTGGAAGAAGGCGTTCGGTCTTCTATATATGGGGATGTCGCAACGTTTTGCCGATTCAACACAATGCCTGATGGTAGTAGTGTACCCTCAGCTGATGATGGTTCGAAATCTCGGTATGGAAAGAGTCCAGTGTTGATGAGATCTTGATCTGCAAGGGCCGCAGAAGTAGATGGTTGAATTGGAAATCCAGGCGGTGGTTGCAAGTCAAGAGCTCGATTCCACTCATAATCTCGATTGTTTAATCGAAGGAGATTTTCGTAGATTCGCTGGGAACGATCCACCATTGGTCCCGGGTCGTGATTAGGTGGTGGCCGCCCCAAATATTCGGTCTCTTCGCCGGCGCCGCGTAGCAACGTACCCTCAGCGAGAACTGGGTCGAAATCTATATAGGGAATATATCCAAGTTCTATCCATCTTCGTTCTTGCTCTTCCGCCACGCTTATGTCATTCTCATTTCTATAATATCTTCCTGGATATCTTTGACGAATAGCATTGGCGATTGCTGGGTAGCGATCGTCAATATTCCCTTGGGAAAAACCTTGGCCGATTCAATAGCACACCTGATGGTAGTCGTGTATCCTCCGGTGTCACTGGGTTAAAATCTATGAATGGAATGTATCCAAGGTTTATATATCTCTGATCTCGAATCGCCCGACCAAGCGCATCCGGTAGGCGGGGCATGTCTGAATCAGGCACTAAAATACCATCCGCTTCAGCACTCATGAAAATCCCACGGTCGACGAGACCTGGCGGGAAACCATCTTCACCACTTCCATCAGGACCGCCTTCTCTTCTATTATAACCATAGATACGAACTCCTCCATCTTCTCCATCTTCTCCATCTCCTCTACCTCCTCCACCACCTCCATCTCCTTCACCCCCTTCACCCCCTCCATCTCCTCTAATTTTTGGCGGCGGGCAGGGTTCATCATCGTCATCTGACATCCCTAATGACCAATTTTTACAACGCGACTGGTGTGCAATAAACAAGACAATGGTAAGAAGAATATACGGAAAAAAGACAGACCGCTTTCGGTTTCGTGCAAAGAGTTCGATGGTCTCCAACAATAGTGCCCTAAAAAAGGGGACCTTCGATGCTGAATTCCTTGAAGCCTGTATAGCCCAAGAAGAGTAAGGAAAAACGATGAGCAATGCAGATACAGAAGTCGCCATGAAAATTCGAGGAAGTAGCCTTTTGAACGGTAGGCCTTGAGGTTTAATGAGAGTACCACCGTCGATTCCAGGGTTCCGAGTGGCATTGAAAGACTTGGTGAGTATGATTGGATAGAGTAGTGGAGGAAGAGTGAGGAACGACCACCCTCGAGGCATCTGATACCTGTCCATGGCTCGCATGAGAAGTGCATGGAGTATGATGGGGGCACCAGCTATGAACCACTCCAAGAAGAACCATCTCAAAATAAAACCTTTGATCCCTTTATCGAAAGAGATATTGGGGATACCGAACTGAAATTGAACTCCTTTCATGGCCTGCCAGGCGGAACCGGACCTGTCCCTTACAAAGAGCGAGGTCGCGTTGGCGATCTATGAGGATAAGTTAGCTTTTGATGTTGCCTTACAAGAAACTGTATATCCAGAGCTACTTACTGGTTGTAGGTACCCCGAGATATATTCTGGGACCCTAGAGTGGAGAAGGTCAGGAAACCGAGGGGCGGGGAGACCAGGAATACGAGGCATACTAGGAATACGTTTATAAACCTCCGTGAGGCCCCAAAGCAAGTAGCCCCAAAGGTCCTTCAGAAAAGAAACGGTTGTTACGTTCTTGAAGCGTTTTCTACCCTGGACTCGTGCTGCAATCATCTGGAATATGGAATCAGCTAAGTAGTATCCAACAGGGTAAAAAACCACTTACCCAAAAAGACATGAACGAGTTGTAGAGAACTAAGCCTATTACTCCCATGAAAATATCCCTTCCAGGACGAAACCAACCCGGTATGCTTATCCATCTGAAGCTTCCTAAGCGTCTCCACGCTATGTTGAAAAAGAATGCAATGGTTCCATTCGACGTCCACGAGGAAGGACTAAAAATGGTTCCCCAAGTGTCCTTGTCCAAAGCTCGGATCAAGTCGACAGCAGCATTGAGAGCCATAATAGAGCCGAAGAGCAGGTAAAACGCATTAGGTTTCTCCTTGGCAATAACGTATTGGTGCATACCCTTCGCGCCACTCTGGAATGTAATGACTATCCATACCAGCAGAGTCCACAACGGGCTAAAGATGTTGAAAAAGTCGCCCTGTGGTGAAGTTTTGTGCCAGAAAAACCAGAGGAAGGCCCCAACTGTCTTGAACTGGAACATGGCCGTGCTCAAAACTGACTTGATGATAGCTTTGGTAATTGCCTTGAATACACGCCAAAGGAACCCTGGGACCTTGAAGATAAAGTGGTCTTTGAACACTTCAAAAAGTGTTCCCGGGTCGCGCCACCCTCCGTTACTGAGTAGGGACCAACCCGTCCAAGCGATGACACCACCTTCAGCCTATTCACAAAACAATCAGCATTCAACTCTACATTCCACATCAGAAGCAAAACACTTACAAACCAAAGCCAATCCCTCATCACCCTCCCATCTCTATCACCCTCACAAGTCACCCGTCGGTACCAATCAACATCATGCCGTGTCCTCTCCCACATATTCTGTTCCTGCAGAATATAATGGCATTTCTCGGTTATCGATTCGATCCCTCGAACGGCTTTGAACCACTCGACGCCATAGTATACCCATCCAACCAGTCGACGTCCGTACACCCATTGAAAGAACATTAATAGGAAGAAGAAAACGAGCCATTTTTGAACCTTGAGAGCGGCGGCTTCGTTGAGTACTCCCCAGCGCTCGGTTGGCAGGTTCAGAGGCTCTGAGGATGATCCTGAAGGCGATCCTGGAGGCGATCCTCCTAGGGGAGCTGGTAGTGTTGCTGCTTCTGTTACTGCCGGTACTGCCGGTACTTCTTCTGCGGTCTCTACTCCTTCCGCCCCCGCTGCTGCTGCCGCTGCCGCTCTGGCTTCGGCTTCCAGTTGACGCCAAGTCCATGTGGCTTCGGGCACTGATGATGTGCTCTCTTGCACTGGTACGCTTGAAGATTCTTCTTGTGTATTCTGCGAGGCTGATCCGCTTTGAGGCGAGTTCTGGGATGCTACATTTCGCGAAGAACCTTCCGAAGTTGGTTGAGGTGCTGACGGTGTATCCGCCATCGTGTTGTTTGAATTCGTCGGAGTCGTTACTCTCGCACTCGTGCTAATCGAGTATTCTCTACTGACTACTCAGGGAGCTCTACAGCTCAATCAGTTGAAATTCACGAGTCGAAGCTTAGATCCCAATGTAGGATGTCAAAGAAACAAATGGGTATAACCAATGGTCGAACTTCATACAAGATGCATCTATTTTCGAAGACTTGCGGGATGTGATGCGAGGTGTCAATTGTATGTTGGGTAAGAAAGACATAAGCTTTGCCACAAAGAGAATTTCGCTCTTCGACAAGGACGACGAGATCACAAAGGGATGAGCTTGAAAACATGCTTCTTTTAGAAAATATATACAAAGAGATCCGAAGGGCCTTCCGCAAACGTATTAGCCACAACGGTATGTATTGCCACATGGTGCCAGAGAGTATTGCAAGCAGGTCGAGTGAGAAGCGGAAGCGAGGGGAAATTGTTCTTGTCGCTAAGCGAGAACGAGAAGAAATGTATTATATTCACTAATCTATAGGACTGATCAGGTCTCTTTAAACCCCTACCACTCTTACCAACTATTATTTCTCACTCCCTACCACTCCTGAGAAGAAGTATATTCAATAGGTGTCACAACCAGAGAAGCGGTCACCCAAGGTCATGTGACCATCCCATCTCCCCTTTCTCAAAATAGTATTTACTCGCCTAATCAGACCGCTTTTACCTACCATCCTGTGCGCGAATACCCACATCAAATAAACCTTAAAAATTGTACCAAAAACGCGCCTTTTAACCATACTTTTTCTTTTTCTTTTTCTAGAAAATTACTTTCGAGATAACGAGAGTCTCGAATGCCATATAAAAACCCTAGAAGTTTTCTCGAATACGCTGGTTGACGTCTGGAGAGATCGCTTTTTATAGGGGCTATAGGGTTAATAGCCTGGACTTTGATATCTGATATCTGATCTTATTATAGTGGGAATGGTAGGAAATGTAGGGATGATTTTGAGTCTTAGGCGAAGAAGAAGAAGCAGGTGATAATGGTTGGAGAATCATATTAAAGCCTTACAAGATTTGCTATACAAGATCAAAAATATACAACTGCCCCAACAACTAAAACAAACACAAAAAACATAACAAAAAAATGATATACTCCCTTCTCCACAAAAAAACCCCCACTACGTCCCAACCATACTAACATCCACCTCCCTCGGCCCCCCCTTATATGGCCACTCAGGAACCTCCACCCCCTTACTCACCATCCAAACCGTTAAATCCCTCACACTCTCCGCAAGCTCCCTCTTCTTCGCCTTCACCAGTCCAAAATTCGGGCCCTCAGGCCCATGACTCCACATCCCCAACACATACGGGAAAGTCTTGCCACTCGCATTAATAAAAGACAACAACTGCTTCCGGCGCTCATAATACCGTTCATACCACCTCCTCTCCGTCTCGAAATCCGCAAAGATCAGACTTCCAGCAGGATCCTGTTTAAGTTCTATCTCGGAGTTTTCGAGGACAGGGAGTTTATAAAGGATCGTTTGCGTCCCTGATTCGAGAACGATTTGTTTTTGGACGGTGTTAGGATCACAATGCGGGTCCGTGATACGGACATCCTGGAGTCGATTGTCAATCTGCAGTTTCCACGGAAATGGATTGACGGACGGAACCAGCACGTCGCCCATCTCGCGACGCACGGCATGCAGTAAAGGCGGGTGATCAAGCGGCATCCGTAGGATCTTGGGGGCTTCGGGGTAACACTCATCGAACCAATGGCCGCGACAGAGCTCCGCGTACGTCACGGCGTCGCGGAGGGCGTCGAAGTCAGCTTGGTATTTTGGGGGTCCTGCGATGCGGGGTTGGCCTTGGCTGGTGCCTGGGAGACGGGAGGATTCGAGGAAGGAGAGGAGCTGGTCGAGGCGGTCGTCGAGGATGTTGATTTCGAATTTGAGTAAGCGGGATACGAGCGCGGGGAGGGTTTTGGTGGGGGTGAAGGAGGGGGGTGTGATGTCTTTTGGGATCCGCCAGGGAGGAGAAGGGGTGTTGAAGGTTAGGGATGCGGTTTGGAGGTGGGTTATTGATTCTTGCATTGCTTTCCAGATCTTGTAGCGGGGTTCTGGACGTGTGCCGTTGAGGGGGTCGCTTAGTGCGAGGGTGGTCTTTTCGACTTCCCTGTCGTCGGACATGATTTGCAGCGCGGAATTGACGGTATTCTTAATCTCGAGCGGTTTTCCTTCGAGGAGTTGGATAGACATGGGACTTAGTGCATGCTTACTCTTTTCCACCGCCTCCTTTTTCAAATCCATCAGGCGCCCGAATAAGCGAGCGACCTCCTGATGAAGAAGACTATGGACCAGCCGCTCGAACTGCTCGTACTTTAGATTCTTCACCATCTTGAATTGCTGATCGAACGTATCCAGGACATGGAAATGAAAGCGTCGATTCCCCATCTCATCCCTAGGCTGCGGATGCGTCCAGGGGAGAACCCCATACGGCCCAAGATCCTTCAAAAACACATCGGTAAACAGACCCACCTTCTCGCAAAGCCCAAGCTAAACATCAAACACGTCGCTCGCGAAGTCCTTATAGTGGAGTAACTTCCTCGGCGGGAGTCGGATATTCAACCCCATCTTAACGAACTGCAGATTCCCACCTAACCTCTCAACTTCATCCTCCAGACGATTCTTATACATCTCCAACTCCCTGAGTCGGATCTTATCCATGTTACTAAGAATATTGCTGAGCACAGGTTGGTTCTTGATCCCACCGAGTCCCCCCGCGGCAATCTGCTGCACCATCGCCTGCGTAAGCTCCTGCAAGTAAGAGCGCACGGTATAATGACTACTCTCATCCTCCGACTTTCCAAATTCCCTCGCAGCCTGCTGAACCATCCGATCATTCGCCGTGTGTCGCTCAAGTAGAACCTCTTTCTCGCGCGTCAACTTCTGGATTGTTATCTGACAAGTGGCTTCATTCTTGCACGCCCGCGAGCCTGTGGTGTTCCGCTCGTTCTATAACTCAAGTCGAGCTTTCATTGCTTGGTGGGTAGCGAGATTTATTTCCTTCTCGCGAGTCCGTACCAAGGCCCGGAGTCTATCGGCTTCCTCCTGCGTCTGTAGCACGTTCCCGTCGCCTTGTGCGTACTCCAATTGGCTCTTCAGATTCAAAATCCGACGCTCGTATTGTCTCCCTTGGTAATCTACTTGCCGCTCCAGTCCCATAACCACATCCTGCAACTGCTCGATAATCCTCTGTTTATTCGCCGCCGTTGGGGACGACGGCGAAGTAGGGAGGACGCTTCGTCGACGTTCTGTTTGTCTATCCCGTTTACTTTGCGGAAAATCCTTCAATACCAGAACCTCATTTTCCAATCTCTCCATCTGTAGTCTGAGACTCCTATTCTCACCCCTCTCCAGCCGTATCATTTCCCTACTATCCTCCAACTCCTTCTACAGCGCATCAACATCCCGCATAGTAGGACACGTACAATCCCACACATGATGACAACTCCTCATATAATAAACTGACGTCACAACATGCTGCATAGATCTCCTCATCCTCACCACAAACCACGGAGTCCTCTCAAGCACAAACACAACAAATCTCACAACCGGCCGGACAATCACAAGGATCCCTTGCGTCTCCGTGGATATGTGGTAGATGGTGAGCAGGAGTGTTATGACAGCCAACGGGATGGCGTTGTGCAGAAATGCGTTGAGGGGGAAGTAGAGCCAGAGTGCGAAGATGGAGAGGAGTGCGAAGATGCCGCTGATTCCGATCCAGGTTTCTTGTGGGATGCGGCGGATGGTGAGGATGGTTTGGTCGAGCTGTTTGGTGTTAGATTTTATAGAGAGGGGAAGGGTGGGGATATATACTCGTCTAGGACCATGGGTTACAAGATACCATCCCGCAATAGCAAGTGCAAGGAATGTCTATTACCCGTTACTAACCACCTCTCTCTCTCCCCCATAAATCCAGAAAAGAGAAGAAAAGAAAAAACCTACCACCCCCGGCCCCAAAACCGCCGTAAACCCAAACAAATACCCAAAACTCTCACGAATCTACCATCATCATCATCAGCCCATCCATCACACAATCAATCCACACCATCCCCCCAATCCCTATCCAAAACATCCAAAACACCAAAAAAACTACTCACCAAATCCCCCACACCCCCCTTCCTCTCCCACCCATCATCACCCCCCCTACACCTCTGCAACCAATACCACCCCTCCTCCCCCAACTCCTCCCAAGGCCTCTCCACCCTCCTCAACCTCTCACATGCCCCATCAACCGGCGGATCCCCCAGGAGCGCACGCCCAAACTCGAGGTGGTAGTACCAAGCTCCCAGCGGCGCTTTGCGTACGAACCATAGGATAAGGAGACCGAGGAGGATGAGGAGTGCTTTTGGGAAGTTGGCTCGCCACCAGGAGGTTGAGGGCGGCTGGTTGTCCTCTTCGTTGGGAGAATGAGGTAGAGGTTGAGTTGGAGATTGTGGATGGATGTTGCGTGTGTTCATGGCTGGTGTGGTGCCATGTGGCGGAAAGGCAGTTGAGAGATATTGTATAGCTATCACTGTTCAAAAAAACATAAAAAATACAAGACACTTGAGGAAATTTGAAGGCGTCAAGAGGGAGAGGAGCCACTGCCGAGGGATGCATGCAAACGAAAATGGGCGTTGAGGCCCAGAAACCCATCGTTTAGATAAAGAAAGTGATGTTGCGAACAAAGAAAACACCGTTGGCTTGACAAGAAAAAAACCCCAAGAACGAATGACATGAAGTACTTCCAATAGCGGTAATATAGCCTTGCCGAGACGAAAGGAAGATAACGGGAAAAAATGTATTGTATGTTATGTACTATACCTACAAGCTCAACAGCGTTTAATAGAATATTCAAATTGGGGTACCTCCAAGACACAATTTGTGTAAGTTCTAGCTCTCCTCGTCATCACTCAAATCAAAATCTCGTGCTCGCCTCCCAGTCTCCTCGTCGTCTTTGATCTTTCCAAAACCTTCGTTGAACATCGCTTCACGAGATGGGAATGGCTCGTGGCATTTTGGTGAACGAAGTTTAGGATAATAACGCCTGTATGAAAAGTACGCAACGCTGATTCCGATGATGGAACCACAGGTAACATCATAAACATCATGTCTGAAATCATAGTTAGTCGTATTGTGAGGCTAGTATAGTTGAATGGAACGTACCGATAGTCTTCACATCGACTAATTGCAATCATTGCAGCACATAGCAAGGGAGCGAAAGCAAGCAGTGCCCTCCCTAAATCAGTTCTCGGACGGAAAACATGCATCTGTCCACAAAAGAACAGAGAAAGGAATCCTAAACCTGCAAAGGCAAACGAAGAATGTCCAGATGGAAAACTCCTCCACCCATCATGTAATGTATGATGGTTCGTTTCTGTGCAAACTGTCCAGTCAACGAGGGCATCTTTTGGTGTATTCGGTTTCGGCTTGCATCTTGAGATCAAATCTGGTCTTGGACGTCCCACAGCGTTTTTGATAACGTCTGTGATGAATACGGTGAGGAACAAGCTGCCGATTATTAGCAAGAAATCGTACCAGATTCAGAATATTCGCACCTGATCAGAAATCCTAGTATTGTGACGTGACTCTTGTGTACTCCAGCCCGTAGGACAATCAGAGTGAGAGTCAAAATCACAAGAGGTATACATCCAGCATAGATTATATTCCAACCCGGAGAAACCCTCTCGATTTCGGCATGTGGATACTGAATGTTGATATTGCTCAAGAAGAACATTCGATGGAACGGCTCTTGCAAGAATTCAATCTAGATATTACACGTCAAATCCGGATCGATGAACTAGGAGGATAGCATAGAATCGAGTCGTACCAAGAAGTATGCCGTTGTGAGAATCGCTAGACCAATATAATCGGGAGCGTAGGTTTTCTAGTAGCATTTAGTTTCAGCATTTCATGATGACCCAGAGCCGTGTGTTACCTCCCAAAATCTAGCAACACTCCCAATCCATCCCTGCCTCGCGGTTAACCCGTGATCCGGGCTTCTCGTGCTGCGAGACATCTTTCGTAGGATTCGGTTCACCAGCCTCGCATGCCTAAAGCATGGAAATACACTGAGGAGAGACACTGTGGAATCGCATCAAGGTACTGAGGGAAGAGGAAGAGGTAGAGAAAGCGGAGGCAAGAGAGCCAGAGAATCGGTCGAGTATATGCACTGCACTGCACTACAATACACTAACACTTTGGTGGAGATGAATATCCGTTACTGTACTGTTCCTGACGTCGGTGGTACATATTTTGGAGACACGCGACACCGACACCTGTTCTATTGCAGCACAGCCCGACTCGGCTCGGGAGTTTATGCAGATCATCCGGGGATATTACACGGGATGTACTTCGAAGTAAATGCGCATGTTTTGGTGGAACTTACTGCAGCTTCCAAGCTCTGTTAGCGCTTCTGAAGTCCTTCACTTCAGCCTTGCCAAATTCTGGGCTTGGGCACTCTCCTCAGGGACCCTCGGGACTACGACCTCCCCTCAGCAGCCGAGGTCTCACCTAAACAAACAATTGGAATTCACCACCTCGAGGTCAAATCGAAGGCTGCTCTACACATACATACAATGCAGCAGTAAACGTACCATTCGAATCTCATCAATAATCTCTATATTTCCAATCGAACCACCCCACCTTGCACAAACCTCGACCGGGACAGAACTTCAAAAAATGGAGGAACAACCAGAAGCTCGTCTCGCAGCCTCATTCCCAGCACCCCCTCCATTCTGGCAATCCTTCACCGAAGAAAACACCACCCTCATATCCTCCCTCCGCGCCTCCCAATCAGTCGAACCATCAAAAGAATTCGATCCCTCAACCACCCTACCCCCGCGAATTCTCGACCTGCCTGCCGAGTTGCGATACTTGCAACCACCAGAACCGCCTGCGGAGGGGGTATACAGATGTTTTGGCGATGCATATGATGTAAGAAGCCTAGTACAGAGGGTAGAGGAGATGCTAATATGAGGGTGATAGTTGAATAATCCCCTCCCCTCACTAGAGGAACAAGATATCCAACAACTCTACATCCCACCCTCCTCCCCCAACGCAGGGAAACACTCCGATCGCGCCCTAATCCTCAAGCGCATCGCAAAGTCCCTGCTACTGAATTTCATCGAGCTGGTGGGAATCATGAGCATCAATCCTGAACACGTTCGTCTCCACCATACAATTCACATCCCCCTCCATCCCTATCCCAACTAATGTTTTGATACAGTACGCCGAGAAAATCCAAGATCTCCGCACCCTATTCATCAACTTCCACCACCTCCTCAATGAATACCGTCCCCATCAGGCGCGCGAAAGTCTGATATTGATGATGCAGGATCAACTTGAGAAGAGCCGCGCGGAAACGAAGGGGATTATGGAGATGAAGGAGAAGGTTGAGGGGATTTTGGAGGGGCTTACGAAGACGGGGTTGGGAGATGAGGGAAAGGGGATGGGTGGTGGGATGGTGGAGGGGGGGGTGGATGTTTGGGAGGAGTTGGAGAGGGAGTTTTGTTAGGGGTTGCTAGGGTAAAAAAGGATGGTGATGGGGAGGAGTATTGGGGGAATGTTTGAGTTATTTGTGTATGGAGTAAGAGAGAGCATGTTTAGGTATTTCCCACAGATGATAAGAAATGATATACACCGGAGTTTCTCAATATGTCTGCATTCATCCCATAAATCCACTATCCGTCGCAAATGAAAGAAAGTCCTCGTATTATCATCCATCCATCGCTATCGCATTCCAATTCCCATCCCATCCCCTCCCATCACCCTCCCTCTTCCCCCCTTCTTCC